GAGGCTTTCCTGGAGCTCACTCTCTAGACCAGGCTGGCCTCAAACTCACAGAGATCCACTTGCCTCTAACTCCCAAGTGCTAGGATTAAAGTATACCATCAATGGCCAAATAATTTCTTTCTTTACTTCTTCCGTGAGTTTGTAGGGTTTCTGCAGTTTTTGTTGTTGTTGAATTCTAACTTTAAAGCATGGTGGTCTGATAAAATATGTGGGGTTCTTCCAATGTTTTTGTACCTGCTGAGGTTTGCAATGTTGCCAAGTATGTGGTCAATGTTAGAGAAGCACTCATGTGGCCCTGAGAAGAAGGTATATTCTTTTGTGTTTGGATGGGATTTTCTGTAGATGTCTGTTAATCCCAATTGTGTCATAACTTCTGTTAGTTCCTTGTTAAGTTTCTGTCTGGTGGTCCTGTCTAGTGTTGAGGGTGGTGTGTTGAAGTCTCCCACTATAACTGTGTGAGGTCTCGTGTATGATTTGAGTCTTAGTAATGTTTCTTTCATGAACGTGGGTGCCTTTGTATTTGGGCCAGAGATGTTCAGAACAGAGACTTCATTCTGATGGATTTTTCCTGTGATGAATATGAAATAGTCTTCTTCATGTCTTTGATAGATTTTTGTTTGAAGTCTAATTTGTTGGATATTAGCATAACTACACCTGCTTGTTTCTTGGATCCAATAGATTGGATAGTCTTATCTCAACCATTTACTCTGAGGTAATGTCTTGAACTTGAGGTGTGTTTCTTTTTTTGCCAATTTTTTTATTTTATAGAAAATTAACTATCTGTTCCCCCATTCCTTCACCATGTTTCCCTCCAATCCCCCAACCCACCCACCACCCATTCCCCAGGGATAGTGAGACCCTCCACAGGAGATCATCAAAGTCCATCACATCATTTGGGGCCCAGGCCCTTCTTTCCATATCTGTGCTCCAATAGTATCCCTCCATTGGGAATGGGCTCTCCAAGTCCATTTGTGCCCCCAAATAAACTCTGGCTCCACTATCAGAGGTTCCATAGATTGTCTTAGGCTCCTAGCTGGTACCCACATTCAGAGGTCTTGCTTTGGTCCAATGCTGGTTCCCCCACTTTACAATTAGTGTCTGTGTGCTCTCATTAAATCAGGTCAAGTGTTTCCTCGGGTATCTCCAGTTCTTTCTTTGCTCATTTGGTCATCTGTTCTCTCTCTCCACAACTGGATTCTGGGAGTGTGGCTCAGTGCTCAGCTGTGGGTGCCTGTTTCTGCTTTGATCAGCTACTGGGTGAAGGTTCTAGGAACGGTAACCATAGTAGTCATCAATTTCATTATAGGGAAAAGGCATCAAAGGCAGCCTCTCCACCACTGCCTAGATTCTTAGTTGGGATTATCCCTGTGAATCACCTACCATTTCCTCTGTGCCAGATTTCTTCAAATCGATAGTGTTTCCCTTTATCAAGGCATCTCCTTTCTTGCCCTCTTCTATTCCTCCCCTAAGTTCTTCTGTTCTCCTCCCATCTTCTGTCCTTCTCTTCTTTCCTTCTCCCTCCTCTCTCCCCCTTTGCTCCCAATTTTCTCAAGAGTTCTTGTCCCCCTTCCCTACTTTGGGGGACTATGAGTATTTCTTCTGGGGACCTCCTTGGTTTCTAGCTCTGCTGATGGTGCGTATTCTAGGATGGTAATCCTTTTCTCTATGTCTAAAAGCCATATATTAGTGAGGACATACCATGTTTGTGTTTTTGTGACTGGGTTACCTCACTCAGGATGGTTTCTTCTAGTGCCATCCATTTGCCTGTGAATTTCAAGATTCCATTTTTTCTCTGCTGAGTAGTACTTCATTGTGTAGATGTACCACATATTCTCTATCCATTCTTTAGTTGAAGGGCATCTAGGTTGCTTCCAGGTTCTGGCTATTAAAAACAATGCCACTATGAGAATAGTTGAGCATATGTCCTTGTTGTATTATTGTGCATTCTTTAGGTATATGCCCAGGAGGGAATTGCTGTGTCTTGAGGTAGACTCATTCCCATTTTCCTGAGAAACTGCCATACTGATTTCCAGAGTTGCTGTACAAGTTTTCACTCCCACCAGCAATAGAGGAGTGTTTCCCTTTCTCCACATCCTCTCCAGCATAGATTGTCAGTAGAGTTTTGGAATTTAGTCATTCTGACTGGTGTAAGATGATACCTCAGAATTGTTTAGACTTGCATTTCCCTGATGGCTAAGGATATTGACCACTTTCTTAAGAGTCTTTTAACCATTTTGTATTCCACTATTGAGAATTTTCTATTTCGTTCTGCACCCCACTTTTTAATTATTTTGTTTGTTATTTTTGTGGCTAGCTTCTAGAGTTCATTGTGTATTTTGGAAATCAGCCCTCTGTCAGATATGGTAAGTTTCTTGTGGATTTACTCTGCACTTTCTCTTGGCTTTTGATAAAGTGGGATTATCTATTGCCTATGGTTTTATGAGTGTAGTTAACTTCCTTAAGTTGGAGTTTTCTTTCCAGTAATTCAGTAGGCCTGCATTAGTGGATATATATTTTTTGAATCTGGTTTTGTCATGCAATATTTTGTTTTCTTCATCTATAGTGATTGAAATCTTTGCTGGGTATAGTAGTCTGGGGTGTCATCCATGGTCTCTTAGTGTTTGTTGAATATCTGTCCAGGACCTTCTGGCTTTCAGAATCTCCATGGAGAAATCAGGTATGATTCTCATAGGTTTGCCTTTATATGTTACTTGGCCTTTTTCCTTTTCTGCTCTTAATATTCTTTCCTTATTTTGTATGTTTGGTATTGTAATTACTATGCGATGAGGGATTTTTTTGTGTGGTTCACTCTATTTGGTGTTCTGTAGGCTTCTTGTACTTTCATTGGTATGCCTTTCTTTAGGGTGGGAAAGTTCTCTCTTCCTTTTAATTTGCAATTCATTCAAGGATTTATTATATTCCACTTGGAATCACATCTTTAAAAAATGCATTATTCATTTTACATGCAAACCATAGTTTGCCTTCCCTTTCCTCTTCCTGCTATAACTGTGCCCTCTCCATCTACTCCTCAGAGTGGATTTTATTATTATTATTATTATTATTATTATTATTATTATACTTATTTAGAAAGAAGCTTGCTTCACATGTCAATCCCATCTCCTTCTCTCTCCACTCCTTCTCTGCCATCCTTAGCCCCCAATCCCCCATCCCCCCAACCAATACCCACTCTGCTCCCCAGGGAGGGTGAGGTGCCCTCCATGGGGGATCTCCAAACTCTGTCTTATCATCTAGGGCAGGAACTAGGCCCTCCACCATGTGGACAGGTTGACAGAGCATCCCTCCATGTGGAATGGGCTCCAAAAGTCCATTCTTTTGCCAAGGATAAATACTGGTCTACTACCTGACACTCCATAGATTACCAAGGTCTCCTCACTGACACCCAAAATCAGGGTGTCTGGATCAGTCCCTTGCTGACCTCCCAGCCATGAGTCTGGGGTCCAAGATCTCCCCCTTGTTCAGGCCAGCTGTTTCTGTGGGTTAAACTAGCCCAGTCTTGACCCCTTTGCTCATCAGTCCTCCCTCTCTGTCACTGGATTCCAGGAGTTCAGTTCAGTGTTTAGCTGTGGGTGTCTGCCTCTGCTTCCATCAGTCATTAGTTGAAGGTTTTGTTTCCCAGTCTCTCTGACAGTGTGATTGTTGGCTGGCGCTCTCCTGATCCATGTCTAAAATCCATATATGATTGAGTACATACCATGTTTGTCTTTTTGAGACTGGGTTACCTCACTTAGGATGGTTTCTTCTAGTGTCATCCTTTTGCACGTTAATTTCAAGATTCCATTGATTTTTTTTCCTCTGAATAGCACTCCATTGTGTAAATGTACCACATTTTCTCTATCCACTCTTCAGTTGAGGGAAATCTAGGTTACTTCCAGGTTCTGGCTATTACAAATAATGCTGCTATGAATGTAGTGGAATAGACATCCTTAGTGTATGAATGTGCATCTTTTGGGTATATGCCTAATACTGGAATTGCTGGGTCTTGTGGCTGGCTAATTCCCATTTTCCTGAGGAATCTCCATACTGATTTTCTATGTGGCTGTATGAGTTGGTACTCCCACCAGCAATGGAGGAGTGTTCCCCTTTCTCCTCATCCTCTCCAGCATAAACTGTCCTTAGTGTTTTTTTTTTAGTTATTCTGACTTTACATTGAGGTATATTAATATTTTTTGTTAAATTTTATGTGTGTGAGAAAATTTTAAGGTCATGACTTTATATTTAAATGTCTGTCGGTGTTTTATTTGATAAAAGACTATCTTCCTCTATGTATTTGCCAATAGTTCTTGCTAAATATATTCTAGTCTTATGTGTTTCTGGTTATTGGCTCCCTGTTCTCTTCCACTGCTTTGTGTGTTTATACATTCACCAGCATCACAAGTTTATTTAATGGCTACTATTATATAAGACTTAATATCGGCCGGGTGGTGGTGGTGCACGCCTTTAATTCCAGCACTCGGGAGGCAGAGGCAGGTGGATCTCTGTGAGTTCGAGGCCAGGCTGGACCGACAGCCTCCAAAACAATACAGAGAAACCCTGTCTTGTAAAAACCAAAAAAAAAAAAAGACTTAATATCTTCTAATAATAGGCTCTCATTTTTTTCTTTCTGAACAATGAAATTATAGGTTGTAGAAATCTATTGTTGGGGAAGTGTGATATTTCTATTAATCAACACATTGTACAATGTTCACATTCCAGTTGTTTGATGTCATTCCTGTCTATTCACTATTTAGTGTTACCTTCCAATATTTTATCTCATATTTTCATTGTCATTCATATTAAATATTTAATATTTCTCTCCGATTTCTTACTTATCCATAAACAAACTCACAGAGATCCTTCTGCCTGTGCCTCCTGAGTGCTGGGATTAAAGGATTGTGCCACCACTGCCAGGCAACTAATGGTTATTTTTAGTATGTTTTTATCTTGTGAATCCTTAAGCTACTGTTATACCCTCAAGTTTTTCTTAATATTTTCCCTTTTAGAGACATGTTCAAAGTCAGATATAGAAATTGAGAATGGTTTTCTTTCTGAATCTGATTATACATATGCTCTAAATAAAAAAACACAGTTCAAGTGTAAGCCAGGATATATAACACCGGATGGAGAAACATCAGGATCAATTACCTGCCTCCAAAATGGATGGTCAGCTCAACCCTCATGCACTAGTGAGTACTTCATCATATTGATGCCATTATACTGATATTATATAAGAATTTAGCTTTATTCTTCTTTTAGTTGATGGTATTTGATTTGAAAGATGAGTTTCAAACTTCAAGAAAAGATACACACTGTTAATTGTTTTTCCTTTTGGACTCATTCCTACATGTAGAATATCAATTCATTCCCCTTTTCAATACTTTAAAATATAAAATAGTTTTAAATCTAGTGAAAGATTCTTTGGCCAGCTGCCTATTTTAAGGTGTTCTGCCTTGTATTTCAAAGCCGTTGCTTCTAGATGTAAACTTAATGTTTTGTTTTAAGTCTTAGAATATATAATCAACTTATAATATGAGTTTGACTCTACAAGTTAAGGCCAATTTCAGGATGTCTCCCTCTTAAAAAATCTTCCCATAATCTTGATATTAGAAAGAAAAAAAATGTTTCTAGGTAGCAGCAAATTTTGGTGTTTTGAAATTTTACCTTGTTTTAGGACCTATAGTTATTCAGTACAACTTGTCTTTCCTATCAGAAAACTAGCCACTGGCAATTTTCAAGAACTATTCAACATACCTTAAATGAAAAGAAAATTTAAGATATTCACTACATTATTAGTTTTTCTTTTTACATTTATTGTGCTTTCATATGATCTAGTTAAAGAAAAATAATTCAAATTATTCCCATGCAAAATTCATTTATATTAAATAATAATTGGAAGTATTTACTGGATATTCTTTTTGTGAAAGAGAATACCTTTGATATAATATAATAAAAAAATAAACCTGTACTAAATTCAGCTAATCAATTGCTCTATATTTTATGAGTCATAGGAACTACTAAATATGTGACCTTACTTCCCAAAATGCTATTGTACTTCCATAAAAAATCATATGCATTTGTTTGTTTATTTATTTGTAGTATATATGAAAAATTGAGCAGAGAAACTATTTTTAAAATACTATTTTATAAACGACTAAGAAAACAGACAAGTGCTATATTGCAGTGTGCTTTTCATTTCAATAACTTTCAGAAAACAATGTTTTATTTTTGGTCTTAGCTTGTTTGTACACAGTATTTAATTTATTAACATAAATTAGCCTATATATATATTTGTTCTTGTGGAAATTACTCTGATTGTCTATTGACATTTTAGAAATGAAATATTCTATTTCATTATGCATTAGAGTCTTGTGATAGGCCTGTATTTGAGAATGCTGCAACTAAAAACAATAGCACATGGTTCAAACTCAATGACAAAATATACTATGAATGCTATGTTGGATATGAAAACAAACATAAACGTACCAAAGGCTTCATAACATGCAATGCTGATGGCTGGTCTGATTTACCCTCATGTTATGGTGAGTACTATTTTCTCTGGAATATATTTTCACAAAATAAAAATAAGTGTTTATGTGTTACTACTAGTTGAATTTCCTAGAATCTTCATTCTCATTTAATGTAAACTCAGAGAAAGGACTTCTAAAAATCAAAGATGATAGTGTGTTTTATTATTTCATCGCATCCATTTACTTATCTTTTGTGTCCATGCATGCATGTGTCCATGCATTGCACATGTAGATATCAGAGAACCTGTGAGAGTCAGTTCTCTCTTTCATGATGTGGATCCCAGGGATTGAACTCAGGTCACCGGGTTTGGATGAAAATACTCTCATTGACTGAGTCATCTCACTAGCCTGATAATCTGGTTTTAAAATAATACATTCATCAGTTGCTGATGGCACATGCTTATGATTCTAGCACTTAAGACCCTGGAACAAGAGTTTTTAAGTTTCATGACATGTTGAGTTACATAATGAGTTCCTGTTTCTAAAAACAAATGGACAAAATACATTGAATTAATGATTCCTTTGCATGACCTGGGTATAACATGTATTTCTGATTACATTTTTATTTCTGGCTTATTTATTTTTATAAATAATATAAAATGATAAATAATATAAAAATAAATCTTAAAACAATAAAATAGTGTGATATTTACATAAAAATATAAAATATAAAGATAATATGAAATGCAAATAATATAAAAATGTGAAATAACATGTTTTATTAGTAGTGCAATTTTTTTCTTATCATAAATACAAGCTGAAAAATTTTCAAAGTAGGTCTCCATTATGAAAATTATAATTTGAATTATGAAACAAGGTCATGAAAACTTGAACAGTGAGGGAAGAGGATGAAGAACATTTGGAGCAGAAAAAATATTAAAATGTTCTCAGCAGAGACTGAAAAATTTGATTTGCAAGATCAAGGGACAACTCAAATATAACTCATTAGGAATGTCAACACCTGAAAGGGTGGCACAGTTTTATGGGGGAAAAAAGCACAGAAAGACAGTCCCTGAGTTCCATACTATCATAATGTAACACTGGGGTGGTGGTTGGGGATTTTCCACAGTGGTGCACATTTAGACTATCAGGGGATCCTATGGTTTGGTGACCCAGACTCTGCAGAGCTGAACACTCAGCAGGGGATTGATTGAATGTTTGCGGTTTGGCCTTATTCTAAGAAGAGAATTGACACCTATGTAAGGGGTTGGGGGCTGAAGTCTATTCTGAGGAAATTATGAGTAATAGCTCAGAGTAGAACAAACCAGAACAAAGGTGGAGTTTCTGCTGTTAACTAGGATGTAACAGGGTATTGCAATTATCTATGGGGAGCCAGGGAGACCAGGGGACCAGCTGTTCTGGCAGGTCCAGGTAAAATAGACCCTGCATCTGGGCCTGTGTTCCAGTGCCTGCAGATCACCTGGGAACTGCACAGAGTTTACAATCATGGAGGGAGCCAAGCACCCCAGATTCCAGGTTTCCTCTCCCACCAACGAGACCAGGAAACCAGAGGAACCAGGGAGACCAAGGGACCCGCTGTTCCAACAGGTCCAGTGCCTGGTGATCTCCTGGGAACTGCACAGAGCTTCCAAATCTGGCAGGAGCCAAACACCACAGACACAAGGACTTCTCTCCCACCAACAAGACCAGAAAACTAGCTGATCCAGGGAGACCAGGGGACCAGCAGTTCTGGAGGGTCCAGGAAACCAGAGGAGACAGGGAGACCAGGGGACCAGCTGTTCCGGCAGGTCCAGGTAAAATAGACCCTGCATCTGGGCATGTGTTCCAGTGCCTAGGGATCCCCTGGGAACTGCACAGAGCTTCCAATCCCAGCTGGATCCAGCACCCCAGATGCCAGGTCTTCTCTCCCACCAACAAGACCAGGAAACCAGCGGATACAGCAAAGGGTCCAGGGGACCAGGTGAGAGGCTAAGCACCCCAGATACCTGGTCTTCTTCTCCACCCAAGGGACCAGAATGAGGACAAGGAATAGAAGAACTACCAGATTATTGGACTTGCTAGCATCCACCAAAAGGGAACGCTGGTCCCCTAACCACCAGACCAGTAAGGGGGCTCTTTCTGCACCCCTAGAAGAAGAGATGGGAAAGAGACAATACAAAAACACACTCAGCAACAGAAAAAAAATATGACACCACCAGATTCTAGAGACTCCACATCAGCAAGACTCCAACATCCCAATGCAAATGAAGCAGAAGAGAATGACCTTAAAACCAATTTCATGAAAATGATAGAGGCCCTAAAAGAGGATATAGGAAAATCACTCAAAGAAATGGATGAAAAAACAAACCAAAAAAATGCAAGAAATAGAAGAAAAAAAGAAACCAAAAATGCAAGAAATGGAAGAAAAAAATCCAAACAAGGCAGGAAATGGAAGAAGAAACAAATCAAAAAATGCAAGAAATGGAAGAAAAAAACAAAACAAAAATGACAGAAATGTAAGGAGAAACAAACCAAAAAAGGCAGGAAATGGAAGAAAAAACAAACCAAAAAATACAAGAACTGGAAGAAAAAGCAAAGCAAAAAATGAAAGAAATGGAAGAAGAAATAAACCAAAAAAAGGCAGGAAATGGAAGAAGAAACAAAGCAAAAAATGCAAGAAATGGAAGAAAGAACAAACCAAAAAATTCATAAAAGGCAACAAATGGACGAAAAGATAAACCGAAAATTGCAAGAAACAATGCAAACAGTACAAGAGCTGAAAACTGAAATAGAGACAATTAAAAAAAAACACAATCTGAAGAAAGCCTGAGCAAATGGTCAGTACTACCGAGACAAGCATTACCAACAGACTAGAGGAGATGGAAGAGAGAATCTCAAGTGTTGTATTTACACTAGGAGAGAGAAATGGATTTATCAACCAAAGAAAACCTTATTCCAACAAATCCTTAACACAAAACATTCAGGAAATATGGGACACTATGAAAAGACCAAACCTAAGAATAATAGGTATAGAAGAAGGAGAAGAAAACCACCTCAAAGAGGCAGAAAACATATTCAACAAAATCATAGAAGAAAACTTTCCCAACCTTAAGAAAGACATGCCAATGAAGGTACAAGAAGCTTACAGAACAACAAATAGAGTGGACCATAAAAAAGTCCCTTCGCCACATAATAATCAAGACCCCAAATATAAAGAATAAAGAAAGAATATTAAGAGCAGCTAAGGAAAAAGGCCAAGTAACATACATAGGCAGACCTATCAGAATTACACCTGACTTCTCCATGGAAACTCTGAACGCCAGAAGGTCCTGGGTAGATATTCTACCAACACTTAGAGACCATGGATGCCAGCCCATACTACTATAATCGGCAAAGCTCTCAATCACTATAGATGGAGAAAACAAGACATTCCATGACAAAACTAGATTCAAGCAATATGTATTTACTAACCCAGCCCTACAGAAAGTTTTGGAAGGAAAACTCCAACCCAAGGAAGTTAACTACAACCAGAAAAACATAGGCATTAGACAATACCTCTCTACTAACAACCAAAAGAAAAAAGGGGTGAAATTCCACACATAATTCCACCACCAACAATCATTGTAAATCAAAGAAGAATGAGCAATCAATGGCCATTAATATCCCTCAACATTAATGGCCTTAACTCACCCATAAAAAGACACAGGCTAGCAGAATGGATTCGAAGACAGAACCCTTCCTTCTGCTCCATACAAGAAACACACCTCACCCTCAAAGACAGACATTACCTGAGAGTTAAAGATTGGGAAAAATTTTCCAATCAAATGGACCCAAGAAACAAGCAAGGGTAGCAATCCTAATATCTAACAAACTAGACTTTAAAATAAAATCAATCAAAAGAGATGTAGGAGATCATTACATACCAATCACAGGTGAAATCCACTAAGAGGAAGTGTCTATCCTGAACATCTGTGCCCCAAATACAAAGGCATCCACATTCGTAAAAGAAACATTACTAAAACTTCAATCACATATGAAGCCCCACACACATATAGTGGGAGATTTCAACACACCACTCTCACTACTAGAAAGGAATACCAGACAGAAACTCAACATAGAAGCAAAGGGTCTAATAGAAGTAATGACCCAACTGGGATTCACAGACATCTATAGAACATTTCCATCCACATAAAAAACAATATACATTCTTCTCACCACCACATGGAACCTTCTCAAAAATCGACCACATACTTGGCAACATATCAAACCTCAGCAGCTACAAAATTTGGAATAACTCTATGCATCTTATCAGACCACCATACTTTAAAATTAGAATTCAACAAGAACACAAATTGCAGAAAACCTACAAACTTATGGAAATTGAATAATGCAAAACTGCACCATTCCTGGGTTAAACAAGAAATAAAAAAAGAAATTAATGACTTCCTAGAATTCAATGGGAATGAAGACACAACATCCCCAAACCTATGGGACACTTTGAAAGCAGTGCGACGGAGGAAGTTCATAGCACTACGTGCCCACATGAGGAAACTGGAGAATAGTTATACTAGAGAATTAACAGCACAGCTGAAAGCTCTAGAACCCAAAGAAGCAAACTCCCCCAGGAGGAGTAGACGCCAGGAAATAATCAAAGTGAGGGCTGAAATCAATGAAGTGGAAACTAGGAAAACAATACAAAGAATCAATGCAACAAAGAGTTGGTTCTTTGAGAAAATCAACAAGATAGACAAATCTTTGTCCAAACTTACAAAACAGCAGAGAGTGAACATGCAAATTAACAAAATCAGAAATGAAAAGGGGGACATAACGACGGACTCAGGAAATTCAGAGAATCGTCAGGTCATACTTTGAAAACCTGTACTCCACAAAATTCGAAAATGTAAAGGAAATGGACGATTTCCTGGATAGCTATCCCTTGCCAAACTGAATCAAGAACAGATAAGCAATTTAAATAGACCTATAACCCCTATGGAAATAGAAGCAGTCATCAAAAGTCTCCCAACCAAAAACAGCCCAGGTCCAGATGGCCTCAGTACAGAATTCTACCAGAA